CCACTCACCTCAGCCTCCCAAAAGCGCGGGATTACAGACTGAGCCACCGAGCCCGGCTAAGGAGGAACGTTTTACTTTCCTGGGGATAGGCTTTGGGGGCACATGGATCTTGAGTGATAAGGTCACAGAAATATTTGTGCTTAATGTATTTAATCTTTGCAGGGTGAAAAGGGTGGCATTGGCCTGCCAGGCCCAGACGTTTTCATCGATATAGATGGTGCTGTGATCTCAGGTGCAACTTCTCATTAATTTGAGTGGAGAAGAGAAGACAGGGAGTTAAATTCTGTGTCTCTTGCAATTATTAAAAGGATACTTTGTTAGCCACTAAATTGTTGCTAACCCTGACACCCCTCAAGGACCCATTATGGGTGCAGAACTTGGGGAATAAAGCTAACTTCAATCTCTTGGGCAGAAAAACCAATCTCAGCACCCCTTTTTTGTATTAGGTCCATCAAAGCTAGAATTTGGGTCTGCCTGGGCCTGAATTTGGTAAAAATGGCTCATTTTGTGATGCTTACAGAAGGATCTGTACTTCCCTAAGCTGAGTTGACTTCAGCTCGATACTATAGAACACTCAGTCTATCATCATGTAGATGATCCCTTGCATGCTTGAGCTTGACAGTTTCATAGGAAGCAGAACAGCAGTATGATTTTTTTAAAGTTTGTCTTCACCTCTCCTTGTCCTAGTTGTGACCAACTCTTCCCTTTGCTTTCTCCAAAGATTCAGATATCCAGTGTCTTCAGCTACTTCTTGCTTGACCAAAAGCTTCTACTGTAGTACCTCTCCCATCTGTGTCTCCTAACTTATCCTCTCCTCTCCTCCTCTCAGGCCCATGTCCTGTCTGGTATTAATAGTTGACAGTGGCTTCCTGTGTGCCACTTCCAGGAAACCTAAGAGTATAACATAAATAGTGGACTTCAACATCTTAACCCACATGGTAAACATTTGAGGCATTACAGCAGCTAAGTAGTAGTAGAAGAACCTTCTTAGTACTTACTGGAGTTTTTCATGAGAGGCAAGCCCTGGCCAGGTCAATTATTAACTTTAGTTAATCCTTGGCTCCAATAGGCCCATTATAATGTGAGGCCATTTGCATCTGGGAGAACTGGGAAGGGCAAGAAAAGCACTTCTAACCCCAGGACAGCTGCCTGCATCTCTTCTTGGGCATTTTGTAGCATTCATGGGTCTTCTCTGTGTTTTGTTTACTGCTTTTTTCATTTCAATGCCAGGTTATCCTGGAGACCCCGGTGTACCAGGCCTCCCAGGTCTTAAAGGAGATGAAGGCTTCCAGGGCATGCGTGGTCCTTCGGGTATCCCTGGCTTGCCAGCATTATCAGGTGAAAAAAATTAACCCAGTCCCTACACAGATCAGTCCTCTATTTACTGTGGTTCCCAGCATTCCCTTCTATATCTCTTGATCTGGAGACACACCTAGCCAAAGTCAAAAAAGTGTTAGACTATAGTCAGTAGATTCCTGCTGCCAGCTCTAGGGTAATGTATGCAGGGGTAAAACCTGGGATAGCAGCTTTCCTTTGGCTTAAATAATGCACACTAGCTGGACAGGCAAGACAATACCATCATGTCATTCAGGTTTGCAACAACCAAAGGGGTCCAGGGTAGAACTGCTAGATCTGTATCTTCCTTCGGTGGATGTGCCATCCCAGCTGATGCTTGCCAAGATGTGCTAACAAAAGCTCAGAGGAAAATTTGTACCAAGATCCTTACTCTAAGCTTGATTCAGGCACGAAATAGTCTCAGAATCCTATGGGTGACACCTTGAACCAATCATCAGAGGGGTTTTACTCATATGTCATTCTATAGGGACTGGTGGAAAAAGGCATGCCGGAGTCTGGGAGGCAGTGATGTCTCAGATATAAAGCCTCAGACATTACATTTAGTATTATTATTTTTATTCTTTGAGGCAGAGTCTCACTCTGTCGCCCAGGCTGGAGTGCAGTGGCATATTCGTCGTCACTGCAGCCTCAACCTGCTGGGTTCAGGTGATCCTTCCTCCTCAGCCTTCCAAGTAGCTGGAACTACAGGTGCACACCACCACACCTGACTAAGTTTTTGATTTATTGTAGAGTCAAGATCTCACCAGCCGGGCTCAGTGGCTCAGCCTGTAATCCCGCACCTTTGGGAGGCTGAGGTGAGTGGATTGCCTGAGCCCGCGCGTTCGAGACCCGCC